CCCCGAAGTGCACAACATCGTCATTGATCATAACCAGCATAATGTTCAAATGATACGGTGGGCGGGCAGGGGTGGGGGGGGGGGGGGGGGGGATTCTTTCTTTTTCTTTTTGTTTTTACTTACACATGAAGACATTACAACATAAGACAAAGATTGCAACATCATTTCAGCTCCTGGAAAAAAGGGTTTTTTTATGGGTGGGGCGGAGGGGGATTGGTCCAACTAAGTGAACCACCGCCCCTTACTTCGATACAGTACCTTGGCACTAGGATGGTGCAAAAGCATTATTTTTAAATCCGACATGGCTTTGGCCTGACTACAAAATCCGCGAGCACGCAAATTTGTGAATACGGTGAGGTTAACTGTCCATTCACCTGTGGTCAGGTGTTGTTTCCTGCTTCCCCACTTGACATCAGGATGAACCACAAAGAGCCGGTGCGGGCCCTCTGGGAGGGCGGTGGCGGGCTGCAGCTCCCGGAACAGCTCGTCGGCCTCCTCCTCCTCCTCCATCGAGTCCTCGTCCTCGTCGATGTCATCTTCCTGCTGTGTGAAACCTGACAAGCACACATAGTTTTTTTTTAACTGTACTGTAAGTTGATTTCTAAGGTGGCTGAGCTTTATTTTTCAGATGACTTTTTTTGTTTTACTCGATTTAACTATGGGGCGAGTAGTTTTGCCACCTGACACTACGTGCATTTATTTTTAAACTTTAGAGTATGCACTTGTTATAATTGCACAAACGAGTTGAATCAGCATTTCTACTTTTATAGCGTGTGTTGTTGTTGTTAATTGTACAAGTACTCCTACTTCAGTACACAGTGTGAGTACTTGAGTCACCTCTGTCTTCGGTGAAGCCGTCCGAGCGCCTCCAGGTGCAGCGAGAGAGCCCAAACGCTCTGCTGTTGCACCGCGGCGTGGGGGGGTCTCCGTGCCGTGGAAGGCGGCTCGTCCAAGTGGGGGTCAAAGTTGCCACTGGCCGGCTGATGCGTGTGCAGGCGCCGTGCAGGAGAGACGACCACGCGTGGATCCTCCTGACGATTGCCATGTTATTCAAGAACTCGTCATGTCATGGAATGCAACATCGTAATACACAGTTTCCTCATAGCCTACTGAATAATATAATCTTAGCATACTAGTACATAGCACAAAACTCTACTTCTTATCGACGTTACTCTAGTAATGTACTGCGTTTAAAATTCGACTACATCTTTTCCTTTGCGTTGCCATTACAAACGGTACAAATATTTTGCCCTAAAGTTAGTCTTGCAGGAAATAGTTCCCATCCACTAAGTGCGACGATAACCTCATCGTCACTGAGTACCAAGTGAATACTATAGTTCGGTAAATATTATTTTAGTTTTAAAATTCCTTCAGATCTAACAAATATCAAGTAAAACGTAAATCGTTGGTATTTTATTCCCCTTTCCACAGTGGCATTGCCTGCAAAATAAAAATGAGAGGAAAAAATTTGTTTGCATTGGCCGCTTCGCTGTTTCCATGTTGCTTTGACGTCACTTCCTCCATTGATTCTTTTATTTTTGTCATATTCTGCCCTATTCACGAAACTAATGTTTACTTAAACTGAAAAAAATAATACGCATTTATTATTCTATGAAACAACTCATACGAGACGCATTTCTCGTTTCCCGTGTTCGTTTTCTGATGACGTCACTTCGTTGATGCCGTAAAAAAAAAAAAAACAATAATCGTATTAAATGCCAGTAGTCATTAGAAACCAGCTGAGAGTAATTCGTATGAACCCATTCTCGACTAAAAATTGAGGTAAATATGTAATAAAATATAGAGTGTTGATTTTAGTTGTTTACCGAGTTGTTAGAACTACTGGCGTGGTATTTTACGCCATGTGACCACGAGTACAGTGCCATAAAGACGAAAGTCCTGAGATAACATTTTTGTTTGGATTTTTCGCTTCGCGGTTGAAATATTGTTTTCTGATGCGCACTGTTGTTTGTCTTTTTTCGTGTTTCAGGAATTACAAATCATTAATAAAATAAAGAAACCACCATATACCAACTTAATAATAATTATAGTGCAGTTACTCCTAAAAAAGTTGTGTTTTGATTTACCTGCAGTTGTCACGGTGCTTTCTGTTTCTGCGATTAAAAACAAACAAACATATGAATTACACAACTACAACGACTCAATATACACACCCAAAATAATTAGTAGACTTTATTGTTTCGAATTTTAAATAAAAACGAATTAATAAAATATATTTGTTTCTCAACCTTCGTTTCGAATCTTCTCTCTACAGGACAATGGCGTCATTGCGCTTTAAAACTCGGTTCACTTTCATTCAATTATATTCTTATGGGCAATCGTCCACTCTGAGTAGCTAGATGTGTATTTATTTTCCGTATTTTTAATATGTAATGAATACATGTAATAGTTAACACATTTCTTGAGATCAAATTACGCATTTTGAGCCTTAATTGGTCCAATACGAGTCAAGTGATTCATGTGATTGTAATCCCCTTTACCGGCCGCCTCTCAATGGTTTTTGTGGGCGTGTGCTTGGTTAGAGAAGCTAAACAGGTTGGACCGAAGAACACCTCAATGGCTCTTTCTCCTAAAGGCGGTACAGATTAAGCAATTTTAAACGCAAATTCTTCATGTGTCATTTTCTTTCGCTTGTTTCCACTTTTTAAAGCGTCGTGCCGCGACCGTAAAGAGGAGCGACAGAAGCTTTTCAGGTGCGACAAGACGCAACATGACGCTGACATTCCTTCGGTGTGAACGACTGAAGCGGGGTTAGATGACAATAAGCGTCAAAAGAGGTTTTATAAAAGGCAGAAAGTCAATTAATTTGGGCTGGGGGCCTAAGAGGCGATGCGCCGGGCACTGTGGAACATTGGACTGCTGCTCAGCTTCTTCACCTGCTGCAACACTTGGGGTAAGAAAGAATTAAAATGTCCAGTTATATTGACGTCACTGATGACCACAAAGCACGCACTAGGTGCGCTAGAGTTAGAGTTAAACAAACAGGAAAAGGCTAAAAGACCACAATTAGGGGAATAGCATGTGACTAAATGTTTGGGGTGGGGGTCATCTCAATTTTGACATAAACCTGTGAGGGTTTATTTAAAAAAACAAAACAAAAAGAAAAACAGTTTTTCACCCTTGACAGTAAATTTACCCTATAATATGGTTCATGATGACTGTGAAAATACCAAAATGCAAAATTGGTTTTATACAAAAGGTGGAGCCCAGAGTTCAAAGCAAACATGGTGATGCAGCATTTACTTTTTATTCTGCGTGCAAAATTCAGTAAACTGCCTACAGTCGGTCCCAAATGTGAATGCTTTTAAAAGTTCAAAATGATCCTATTTTCCCCATAGATAGGATTAAGATCTTTCAAAGCATTTCGAAAATCATGTTCTCCAAGCTTACGTTTTTTCCGCGTTCTTTCAGTAATTTTCGTAAGTTACTTTTTATTTCTTTACCTTGCTTTTAAATATCTTTAACTCATTTGATTACAAGTGTTATCAAATGTCTTTTTAATTATGTGAAGCACATTCAGTTACTTTGTGTATGACATGCGCTATATAAAAAAAAGGCTGTCTTTATTTTTGTTACCAAATTAAACAAGACAATCAGTCTAATTATAACACCACAAATACTCACCTTGACATTTAGACTTCCATTTGTACTCATAATTAGTTGTACTCAAACATCCAGCAACTACAGTTATGTATGCTAAATAGTCACCTAGCACAATAGAATTAAAAGGAACGATGAGAAATAATCCACAGTCAAATTTGACCAATGTTGAGTGTAAATTGAATGTGTGACGTGTCAGTCTCTGCTGAAATTTTAAAATCGGTCTGCTAACTGCTGCAAGTCCCAAACCCACATTTGTAAAGAATTTACTGTGATTTTGGCTTGCCTAGTAGAAATGTTACTCTGGCCTCAACAAATAGGAACGTTTTACTACAATGGTCCAATTTTGATCGACTATTGCTGAAATGTTTATCGTTGTTTTGCAAACATATTTGCAGAGCACACACAGACATGTGATCAGTATTTCCACCTCTGCCATGTTGGCAGTTGAACTTGGGATGTTTTTCTATTCAAACATTTAAAAAGGCAGCCTCACAAAATATGTTGGCCGCCAACGTGGCCACAATGTTAACATTCGAATACCTGTAGTTGTTTTGCTAACATTTAGCAAATACCGTGAGTGGTGAAAGTGTTGAGGCACATTAACAAGGATTTTACGTTGTGCCCTGTGTTAATCAACCATTTAAAAAGAGATGAGCTCCAATGCTAACCGTTTTTATGCTAACATATACTGTAGTAACTAGTAAGATACCTAACAACCGAGCGCAGAAGGCCATTGTACCCTGTGGTCGGTACTTTTTTGAAAGAAAGTCGCTCAAATGCTAACAGTTGCTATGCTAACCTATACGCAGTGGAGGGGACAAAATAGACTGAACACCAAGCGTAATTCCAAAAGAGTGTGTTGAAAATTTAGACATCGTCAACATGATCTTTGAGCAATTGACTTATTAATTGACTTTTGTGGTGCCTTCAGAAACCATACGAAACGTTTATAATGTTCTACCCAGACCAGGAGTGCTTGCTAGGCATCGTGGGCCGGCCCCTGCGGCTCTCCTGCTTTTACCCGGACGCCCTCAACTTGGCCAATGTCTCTGTGGCGTGGAGGAGGAACCACGACGAGGTCGTGCGAGATGAAGATGACAACGCTCTTCGCACGGGCAACTTCACCCTGAGGCTGCCTTCCGTGGACCCACAGGAGGACAATGCGTCCTATAGTGTCATGGTCACCTCTCAGGGAAACCGCAGCCTTGAGGCCTGCACGCTGTGCGTCAGGGTCGCTGGTAAGTTGAACGTGCAGATACAATTTTAACCAGTTGTTTTATTTATGTCTGAAACGTCATTTTTTTGTTCCTGTTTTTATTTACAGTAACGCAAAAATGAGAAAAACTGTGGAAAAGAGCAGTCGTTCAAACCGTGGCCAGCATCAAACCTATATAAACATTTTTTCCGATTGTTATTTTGTGTGTGTGTGTGTGTGTGTGTGTCAGCGCCGTTCAGCACCCCCGAGCTCCGGTGGGAGGCGGCAGTGGAGGATACCCACAGCGTCTTCCAGTGCAACTCGGGCGGCGGCTTCCCCGAGCCAGTCGTTGACTGGCTGATTGACGGCGGGGCCCAAGAAACCGCCCCGGGCTCAGTACAGACCCAGGTGGAGCTGCGACCGGACTCTCGCCTCTACTACGTCACCAGCTACCTGAATGTCAACGTGACGGACACCAACGTGTCCTGTGTCATTCACAACTTAGCCATCAACCAGACTCTCACCTCCACCACACGTATGTGGAATGTCACTGTAGGGGGTAAGGGGACTTGTGACGTCATTGGCGAAGGGGAGGGAACTTGTGATGCCACGAGAGGAGTAGGGGGAGGAGGAGAGGAGGTGGGGGGTTTTATTGGCAGCTCGGACTGGGCAATTAATTTCAATTTTGGCTTCTCTCTATTTTAGAAACATTTATAATTGGGATGAATGGGTTGGGGCTATGATGGTAGTTTTGAGTAGTTGAGTTGTAATAGTTGAATCCTGTTTTGAAATCGATGAATAATCGTTTTCATTCATCGTGATTTAATTATCAACACAATAATCGTGATTTTTTTTTTTTTTCCCATATTCGCCTAGCCAGACAGGCAGGTGACAATACTCCCACTCTGACAGATTTTCCCAATAAACTTTGCCACATTCAAATGGCGGCCATGTTTTCCGTAGAGTACATTTGACATCACGGGATGAGGGCTTGCGACGGCAGCAGCGTTTGCCACAAGGGCTTTTTCCTTTTGTTTTGTCTCTGCTTAGACGCAGTGTGGCACGGCCCCGTGGTGACCCGGGCCACCGACTCCCTGTGGGTGTTCAGCACGGTCCTGTGCGCGGTGGTGGGCGCCATGGTGGCCGTGGGCTTGGCCTACCAGATCCACCTCGACCGGCTGAGCAAGAGGAGGAAGATACAACACCTGAGTAGAAGGAACAGAGGTGCTCTCAAACACGCTTTCAGAAATAAGCAGATCGTTAAAAGATCGCTTCGGTCCGAGTGTGTAAATAATGGCGTTGTCTGTCTGCAGGTTACTACAGGAGACGTCAACAAGCGGAGGAAACAGAGGTGGTCACGTTGCAGTTGTCGGAGTCTAACGTCTAACCGGGGTTCAATTTGCCCACTCACTATTATGACCTCTGCCAAGGAAGTTTGTTGCGCTTGCACCCCATGAGCAAAATTGAACAGGAAGTTGGCTATTT